GAGCCGGTCGAACGCCGCGATGCGGAGGGGGTTGGAGCGCACATCGGGTCGAAAGACGCTATGATATTCGTTAAACGGCATAATTGCACCCTCCGGAGCGGAACTCGCGTAATTGTGCCGGGCCCGACGACGTCGTGAAAAACTTATCGCCGAACTGATTATACGTCTTGCTCGGTGATTATTGAAATCGCGCGATTAATTTCCGCATTTGAAATGATAGCTGGAGGTGAGAGCGACGGGGAGAGAAGGAGCAGGAGGAAAAGAGACAGAAACGACACCCAGCGAAATCTCGTCGCGCGAATCTCCAGATCCGACCGCGCGATAGATATTGCTCAAAGCATTAGGCGATCGCGTTTAGATCTTTTACGCGTGTATCGCGCGCGATAGCTTGAATTGACGCGCTAATAAACGAGTAAATAAGAAGGATCAGGAGATTCCGAGGGAGAAAAAAAAGAAAGAAAGAGAGAAAGAGAGAGAGATATCTCGATGATCTTGCGTAGGTTCTTAAGTATCGAACGTATTATGTAAGCTTCGTATCCGAACGACCAGATAAAGACGATAATAGAACTAATCAAAAGACGATAATTGCGCGAGCGAGCGAGCGCGCGTACGACTCCGGCTGTGAAAAATGACAAATCGATCAGCCGAGACATTTATTTGTTGTTATCGCTCCTCAATCTCTAAAGTGAAACGATGCAGTCGATGGCGATGTGATGGCTTATTTATCGTAGCAATAAATACGGCTCACTTCATGAGCCACCCATTTGCACCAACAGAGTAATCGTTTACGACTCTCGTCCGACGGAGGTGATCTCGCGGTGATTCACGCGTATTGTCTTGTCGAACTTATTGGATGCACCAAACGCCGCGTTATCTACGTTACTAGTCGGCAACGGCGGCTCTCTGCAAACGCGTTGGGTGTTAATAAAATTTCGTATAACATACGGACCCACACGACCGGGACTAAGCGCGACGCCACGCGAGATTATCGCGCGCATGTTGATCAACAACAGATGTATCGATAATTACCATCGCGTCGTCAAACATTATCGAACTGATAAGAAATCGGAGCCTTAAATTGTCCGCAATAAACGTAGCGATCACGTCCACCGTGAGGCATAGAATTACGAGCTTTTCGATCAAGATTGCCAATTCGTCCCGAATCTACGCGTCAATCAATTTTCACAATAATACTCCTTTAAGCTACAAGTAACAATATCTGGATTTTCTTTGTTTAAATACGAATATTTTCTTTGTTTAAATACGAATATTTAAATTTTCAATATGGATTATATATGTATATACACATACATTCTGCCAACCAAAAGTTTGGGATCACTTATTGAGGGAAAAAAATAGTTGATCTAATTATAGTTCTTGACCCTAACCATATTTTCTGGTTGTCCTAACACGAAAATGGTAGTGATAACACGCGTGTGAGTTTATTATCATTAACATTAGAAGAAACCAGATAAGTCCAGATGGCCTTAGGAACATTTTGCTCGTATCCAGATAGTATATTGCTTTTTTTAGTATTTATTTTGAAAAAAAAAACAGTCGATACAAAACCGCAAAGTGGTCCTTTTATATATAATAAATAGATATCTTTCTCTGAGTCTCATTAAAATCGAAATACTATTACAATGAAAAAAATAGAAGAAACTAATTTAGTAGCAGCTAAGTAAATTTCCGAGCTTCTCGAAATTTTGTATCAATATTCTCCATTGTGAATGAATAAAGTTAAGCAACGTGTTACTAGCTAGAATGAAGTTTCTTGCAAGTATATGATGTATTCGGGTAATAAAAACCATTTTTATTCATAAAATGATTGAAATCGAGTTTATGGACGAGTAAAATAAAGTTGGCCCATAATTAAGGGTCGGCAAAAGAACTGTGATCTCCCGCGAGACTATTAATCGGGATATATATTTTACATATAGCCTTCTCAACACTCACACTCTACGCTACTGGGCAATTGCCTCCGGTCACCAGAGCAAGATAGCCACATTGCTACATTTTGTATTTTGATTATGACGAAACAAAATATGCGAATACATGATTATTAACTGATAGAAAAAGGCTCTATCTCTATCATATTCGTACAGTCAGTCATAACAATTAATTATCTGAGAGAAACTTCGAAATAGCACCTCTAGCCCCGATTTCTCGTATAGCAGAATTTAATTAAAAAAAAAAAATTTTTTTTTACCATAATTATTTCTCTGCGTGTAATTATAATT